GCTAATGAGTGTTTGTCCAGTCCTATTACCACTTTCTTCATATAATTCATCTTCTTGGATTATTTGCTCAGCATACAGATTGAATAAATATGGTGAAAGGATACAACACTGGCACATACCTTTCCTAATTTTAAACCAGTGCCCCCTTGTTCTGTTTGAATAACTGCCTCTTGTTTTTGTAATTTTTATTCTGTTGTTATTGACAACACACAAAACAAAATTATTCCTCATGAGCACAATTAAGTGTTTTGGAATTCCCATCCTTTGCAATATTACCCATTGTTTGTTATGATCGACACAGTCAAATAAATGCCTTTGCACAATCAGTGAAGCACAGGTGAACATCTTTCTGGTGTCAGCAGTAATACCAATAACAGCTTTATTGATATAATTTACATAAAGTCCACCTCATTTACATAAAATACAATTCAGCATTTTTAATGTAACTTAAGAATTGTGCAACATCTGCCACTACAGAATTTCAGAACATTTTCATCACCCCAGAACGGAATTCCATACCCATTAGTAGTACCCCTTCCCTTTCCCCAGTCCACGGTAACCACTAATCTACTTTGTTGCTGTGATAGTTAAAGTTTTATATCGACTTAACTGGGCCAAGATTTTCAGTGGTTTCACAAATGAGATGTAGTTATCACCCATGTTGAGATATAATATAATCAACTTTATGATGAAAGCAGCCATTAATTGAAAGGATGTTTTCTTGGGGGTGTGTCTTATTTTCAATATATTGGACACTCAGACAAAGCTTGCTTGCTCTCTGCTGGGTCTGGATCTTGCATCTGGCTCATACTCTGGTTTTTGGGTCTTTGGACTTGAGCCAGTGACCTGCTCTATTACCTGCCCCTCCTGGGAGTCTTCAGCAACCTGCCTTTTTACTTGCCAGACTTGTCTGCCTGCTGTCTGACCTGCCAATCTTGGTTCATTAGCCCTGCAGCTACATGAGTGTGAAGCTGCCTATCTGATTTCTGACCCTCAAATTTTGTATTTGCCCACCTCTGTAACTGTTTGAGTCATTGCCTTGATACAAACCTCTGCTCATATCCATATCTTTCTATCTGTATGTACATATATATGTGTGTATGGCATTGCAGGATAATACACTGGATCACAAGATTGATTTGAACCGCAAGGTTGGTGGTTCAAACACACCAGCCACTTCTTGGAAACCCTATTCAGGGTCACTATTAGAACCGACTGGACAGCACTTAATAACAACTATATTAATATATATATGGCGTCCTGGTGTGGAGCTGTGGACTGCAAAGTTGGTTGGAACCGCAAAGTTGGTGGTTCAAGCTCAACAGATGCTCCTCAGAAACCCTATACAGAATCACTGAGTTATAACCAATTTAACAGCACTTAACATCACCATATATATATAATTTCACTGGTTTTGCTTCTCGAGAGAACCCAGACTAGAACAGTTACTATGGATTTGTCTGTTCTGGACATTTCATATCAGTAGAATCGTATGTGTGGCCTTTTGTGACTGACTGCTTTCACTTAGTATCATGTTGAGGTTCCTCCAGGTTGCAGCATACATTAGCACTTCATTCCTTTTTATTGCCAAAGAATAAGTCATTGTATGATGTACCACGCTTTGTTAATCATTCGTCAAGTGATGGGCATCTGAACTGTTTCCACTATTTGGCTATTATAAATAATACTGATATGAACATTTGTCTACATGTTTTTGTTTGAACATGCTTTAAATTATCTTTGGTCTATACATACCTAGGAATGAAATTTCTGGATCACATGGTAATTCTATGTTAAACCATTTGAGGAATAGTCACATTATTTGAAGGATTCAATTCCTCCACATCCTTGTCACCACTTGTTTTGTCTTTTTTATTACAACAATCCTAGTGGGGTGTGGCAGAATTTTTACTACAAAATCTGACCATTATAATCCACTAGGAGAGCATATTCTAATCAACCATCCACAGAAGGGCAGATAATACAACTCTTCCTACTCCCTGGGGTCCCCTCCTTCTTGAAAGTTACAGGGCAGTGGTTCACTGAATGTGGTCCCCAGACCAGCATCACCAGCATCACCTGGGAATCTGTTAGAAATGCAGACTCTCAGGCCCTACGTCTGATCAGAGACTCCAGGGTTGAGGGCCAGCACCTCATGATCCCAGGTGATTCTGATGCATACTCAAGTTTAAAAGAAGGCAGGCAGGTTCATTGTAGTGTCTTGATCCTTGAATTTCAGCCTTAAGTACCTTACTATGGCAGTTCATATGCACCAAATCTATCATGCCAACTGTACTGGGTTGAAGAGGATTTTCCCAAAATTCACGTTCACCAGAGCCTGTGATTGTGACCTTTTTAGGACATAGGATCTTTGCAGATGAAACCATGTTCAGATAACGCCATACTGGATTAGAGTGGGTCCTAAATCCAGTGTGACTGTAGTCCTTATAAGAAAAGGACACAGAGAGGGACAGGCACATAGGGAAGTCATGAGATGACAGAGGCAGAGATGGGAGTGATTCATCTACAAGCCAAGGACTGTCACACCATCAGAAGCTAGAAGAGACGAGGAAGGTTCTGCCTTAAAGCCTTTAGAGAGCATGGCCCTGATGAAACGTTGATTTTGGACTTGTAGCTTCTGGAACTGTGAGAGAATGAGTTTGTTCGTATAAGCCATTCATTATGGTACTTTGTTGTGGCAGCCCTAGCAAAGCAATAAGCCATTGCTGTCAAGTTGATTCCAACTCATAGCGACCCAGCAGGACAGAGAAAAACTGCCCCAGAGGTTCCTGAGGCTACAATTGTTTACTGAAGCAGATGGTCACATCTTTCTCCCTGGTGTGTTTGAACCACAGACCTTTAGGTTAACAGCTGAACATTTTAATCACTGCACCACCATACCAGGATTAGGAAACCAAATAAGGACAAAAGGACCTTGAAAATAAGCACAAAAGCATCACAAAAAGAGTGCTTAAAAAATACATATCAAGAACCACTTTTATTCAAACAAAAAAGAAGAAAGTTCCAATTCCAGTTCTGAAAAAGGACAAGGCTCCTTTTAGGATCTCCACCAATCCGTCTATATCTATCTTTGTCTTGCTTTTTAAATCTTTATTTTGTAGTTACTGAGACTATATATAGCAAATTGTATACCAATCGAACAATTTCAACATGTACAATTCAGTGACATTTGCTTACATTCTCCCAGAGCACCCTTCCATTCTCACTGCCCTTTTCTGAGTTGCTCCTCCCATGAATGCAAATGCACTGCCCTCTATCGTTGGGAACTGCTATTGGCACTTAGATCCCGTAGATAATTCTTAAAAGAGAATAATGCTCAGGGCAGGAAGATATTTTTTTTCTAGTTAAACTAGTATTTGGTTTTAAGAAGACCTCAGGGGATATTGCTGGTTTAAAAATTTTAAAGATTATTTCAGGACAATAGTTTCAGAGGTGGTTCATTCAGCCTCTAGGGCTCTAGAGTCTGAACTCCATAATAACTTGAAGTTCTAGTCTGTATTTCCCTCCTTTTCATCAGGACTCTTCTATAGAATCTTGGCTCAAAATACTCATTAGTGGTGACCAGATACCACCTAGTACTTCTGGTCTCATGGTAAAGGTGGCAGTTGTTCATGGAAGCAATTACACGCACATTCCCAACCCTCCTACTGCTGACTCTCCTTCGTCCCCTGTTGCTCCAAGCAAACAGATATCAATTTTATGCCTTGGATAATTGCTAGCAAGCTTTTAAGAACGCACTGGATTGTGAACCACAGGATCGGCAGTTGAAACCCCCAGCTGCTCCTTGGAAACCCTGTACAGGGTTGCTCTGAGTCAGAACTGACTCAATGGCACTTAAAACCAACAATAACATGTAATCAATTAAGCACTAAACACATCGGTAGGTCAATTAACTGGATGTCCCATAAAACTATGACCCTAACCCTCCAAACCAAGAAACTAATTCCCGTAGGTTTTTGGTTGTACGTAAGCAGCCACAGTTGTGACTCATATGAGAAAAGATTTAGTCATACAACTCAGTGGATGCGTTTTAACACTTTCCAGTAATCAGTGACAACTAGTGATATAAAAGATTCATAGCAATTAATTCTGGGCACTGAAAAGTCAGCAGGAAGGGAAGTGAGAATTTCACAAGGCAGTAAGACATATGTTTTCTCAGAACTGTTGTCCTAAATATTTCTGTTCCTACCCAAACATATTTTTTAAGAGAGTCCTCTTATACTTCTATTTTAGTTCCTTAGAGGAACGATGGTGTAGGAGATTCATACAGCAATCATTTCCAATGGTAAAGACAATTGCATTGGCACCATGTAAAACATATCACAAGTGATCTGGTGATCCCACATGTTAATTACCATTTAAAAATTAGGGGCCAAAAGGTTCTTTGGACAACTATTGTATTTCTTTAGTAGATTGCCATTTAAAAATTCTCACTATATACATTTCTAACCAGCTTATAAATTTAGTTACTAGGTAGATGAATCCTCTTTGTACTTTGTTACTTCTTTCAAATACCTAGTTAGATCTGCTTCTTCTTTGCATCTCCACCAGGGAGCCATCAGAGTTAGAAATGTGAAGCCAGAGTTAAAACAAGATTGGTTTTGCTCTTGCTTAGCAACTTCAGCCCAAGTTGTCAAAAGAGGTAGAACATACTAAAATGTGAACATGGGATGTACATAAAGAACACATGGCTAAACTGCAAAACAACAACAACACTAAGCCCAAGGCAATAAAAAAAAAAAATCCACCATCAGAGTTGTTACGTATCATCGAGTCAGTTCCCACTCATAGCGACACTGTATAGGGTTTCAGAGGAGTGGCTGGTGGGTTTGAATCACCCAGTTTGAATCGTGGCTCAAACTGACCTTGCGGTCCGGCGCATTACCCTGTAGTGCCACACCAGAACTTCAGCACAGTAGAACTACTTTAATTATTGTATTCCATTGTTAAATGCCACCCTTCACTGATTGGACAGGTTTTTACAGCATTTCTCTTGTCTGAGTCATGACAGTATCTCGAAGTGAATTCAAAACTTTTTGATAAGTGTCTAGAATATCCTGAGCCGTGGGCCTTTCTGCAGGAGTCTTGCTCTTACATGCCTTATGAATATCAAACAAATGGAATCGCACCATATCACTCCCTTCAACATGCCCCAAAAGGAAACTGGAGATGTCAGGAATTCTCCAGATGTCGATCTTCTCATCATATGAAGGCATGAGGTCGTCGTGAAAAGGCAAGTCCTCTTCATAGGGCCACAGCTGCTCAGGAGCCACAAAATCCCCATGGAGCTGCCTGTGACCGCACTTGACAAAGGTCCTCGAGCTGTGGTTCACCAGGGGCAAGGCGTCCAGGTCATTGGCCACGATGCTGAAGTTACTTGTCAGCAGGTACTGGGAGAGCGTCTTGGACAGATCGTTGGAGTCACACATGACCAGCGTGCCCAGGGGGCTGTTGTGCAGGTAGTTAATGATGCCCACGTAGTCCATAGCCAGCTGCAGACGGTGCTGCCAAGTGTTCACATGTTGATACTTGGAAAAGTTTAGGGTTTCTTCAAGGTTGCTCAAGGAACCCAAGGGGTGGTATTCAGTAAGAATAGTGTGGTCCTCTTCACAGTAACCAAGCAGCGTCACAACGTGTTTACTCTGCAGAGATTTCAGCATTTGCAGACCATGGAGGAAATCCTCTTTCATTTCCAGACTGGTGAGCCGTGAGAGAGCAACTTTGCGTTCCTTCCACTCAGACAGGAAGACCTGAAACAAAGCCACAGGAGAACGTCAGGCTGGAAACTTCCACCTAAACGAGCAAGCCAAGGAACAACTCAAACAACTCCACAGATGTCTTCTAGGTGCCAGAGAGCACATGGAGGATAAAGAAATGAATGAGACACAGATGCCACCCTAGAGCTGCTCTTAGTCTATGTACCAAGTCTGACTATGAGCAAACACTCAACATTCATGGTGGCAAGCGTCACCTGAAGCCCACTGCGAGACATTCAGTTGATTTCAACAGAACAATAGTAACCCTACTGAACAGAGTAGAACTGCCCGGAGGGTTTTCAAGGCTGTAACTCTCTCCGGAGCAGACTGCCATACCATTCTCCCACAGAGAAGCTGGTGGGTTAGAAATGGAGACCTTTAGGCTAACAAATGAGTGCTTAACCATGGTGCCACCAGGGTTCTAAGGAGGAGGGGCTGACTTTGGTGGGGGTTACAGGGATGAGGCTCCTGGAAGTTGGCCTTTTGAGGATGACCAGGAGTTACAGAGTGGACATGGAGCAGCAAACAGACTGCCCGTTCCAAACTTGTATACAAAGGGTGGAGAGAAGAATGAGAGTGGGGAGAAGACTGGAAAAGTGGGTGAGTCCAGATCTCAGAAGCTCACATAAGTGAGTTGAGCCCAGACCGGGACACATAACAGTATAACTCACTGATTTTTTAAAAGTAACAATGTAAACTATAAATGGAAATATTTCTATAAGAGGTAAAGGATTTTACAGGCCCCTGTGGTGATGGTGCTGTAGAATAACTATTGGACTGCTAACCACAAGGTTGGCAGTTCAAATCCACCTGCTGTTCTGTGGGGAAAAGATGAGGCTTTCTGTTCCTGCGAAGATTTACAGCCTCAGAAACCCTATCTATACAGGGTCACTATGAGTCGGAATAGACTCAATGGCAGTGGATGGTGGCCTTTCTGTTATCTCAGTTACAAAAGCAGGAATTGAAGTGCTATACACATACACTCTGTATGTGTATAGCTCTGGTAGTGTAGTGGTTACGAATGAGGCTGCTAAACTCACGGTCAGCGGTTCGAAACTACCAGCTGTTTTGTGGAAGAACGATGAGGCTTTCTGCTCCCATAAAGATTTACAGCCTCGGAAACCCTGTGCAGGGTCACTATGAGTTGGAACCAACTCCACGGTACTTAAGAACAACAACACATATACTAGACCTATCTGTCCTAGTACATAGCTAACTAGCTTGCAGGCTCAAGACACAAGACAGAGGATGACAGAAGAGAAAACAGGCTTGGAAGTCAGACCCCTGCTCAGGCTGGTTCTTTCCCCAGTAAATTGTGTTGTTGTTGTGTTTCTAAGCTTCTCTTGTTGTGGTTAGGTGCCATCACATTGCTACTGACTCATAGAGACCCTATGCACAGCAGAACGAAACACTGCCCGGTCCTGGGCCAACCTCACAATTGTTGCCACGCTGGAGCCCATTGATGCTGCCACTTGGTCAATCCATCTTGTTGGGGGGTCTTCCTCTTTTTCTCTGGCCCTCCACCTTATCAAACATGATATCCTTCTCTAGTGACTGATCCCTCCTGACAATATGTCCAAAGTATGAGAGACAAAGTTTGACCATGCTGGCCTCCAAGGAGCACTCTGGCTGCACTTCTTCCAATACAGATCTGTCGGTTCTTTTGGCAGCCCACGGTACTTTCAATATTTTCTTCCAACACCATAACTCAAATGCATATGTATCTTCCTCAAAATAAAAGATGTGGTTATGGAAAGCAATTTGTGACACTGTTTATCACCTAAATCTAAAATCTACTGAAAACAATAACATGAAATACATCAAAAGATCTTGGAATAAAAAAAGGCATTTTTTATAAAAGCATAAACTGAGTCCTACCCATCCATAAAAAAATGAGCAGTTAAGTTTAAGCAAATTATGGTAGGATTACTCAATAGAATATTATATAGTCATCAAAATGTACATATCTATAACAGATAAAATTTGTGTTACAAGTTAAAAAGGATGCAAAATTGTTTATACAATGCTGTTCTAACTGTTAAGAGGAGGCTTCAAAAAGTTTGTGGAAAAATTCTATTATCTTTCAATTCCGTTAACTTTTGGAAGCCCCCTTGTGTAAAATAAAATGAAATTAAATTGCAAAGAAATAAAAGGAACTAAGCTAATGATTCAATTGTCTGATTTCATATGGTAGTGTGGTTGTCTTTTTATATGTGGTATTCTGGGTGATTTTTAAAATTTTTTTTCGCCTTCTTCACATCCTTTTGGTATTTTCCCCAAATTTTCTAAAATTTACATATATGACTTACAGTTTCAAACAATTTTTAAAAATAACTCAAAAATACATAAAATAGAAGTGGACTGGCAGACTTTGAAGATGTCTTCTGGCTCTAAGAAGGAAGGTTCATTTAATAAAACCCAGGTAACTACAGATGACCCTTAGTCCAAAAGAAAAATCTTCCAAGACCATCTCAAGAGAAATTTCACTGTGGATCATCATTTCCATTGCAAGTCATTTCGTCTGGTTGTTACATCCACTACAGGTTTCAGGAATAGCTTTTTCTTATTTTCATATTGAACACATCTATCTGCATCTCCATTCAAGCTAATCTTTGATTGTAATCCAAAGTCTTATTCTGGGTGAGGACCCATCACCAACTTGCATCTGCCTCCTTGTGGTCGCCCAGCCCCGGAACACTGCTTTAGGGAAGCTGTTACAACACTGTCAGCAGTAACTCATGGGAGTCTATCGCCCAACCACTGGGCCCATCTCTTCTTCCCAGTTCCTCGCCTAAGTCGGATTCATTTTTGTGCCTCAGATCAATGAAAGATTATTAAGCAATATTAGTCTTTGGGTTCACCCACAAATATCTGAAACCTCCAACATTAAATTTTTGCAAGTCAAAGATTGTTTTAGTCATTTCTCTGAAATCTCTACCTTTGTGGCTTATTAACATTTTCCAGAATTCTTTTAGAGAGAATAATAATATACTTCCTTTTTTATTGTAAAATTAATCCATAAATACTTTTCTTAGTAAAAATTCAAATATAGAATGATGTAGAGTATATCCCCTCCCGTGAGTTGTTCTTCACCTGGAAGGAAACCTTTGTCAATGGTACGTTTCCTCCCAAAACATGTTCTCTGCTTTTCATACATTAGTGACTCCTGGTGTGGTGCTACAGGATAAGCACTGGACTGCTAACCACAAGACTGGCAGTACAAATCCACCAGCCACTCCTCAAAAACTCTATATAAGGTTGCTATGAGTCAGAACTGACTCCATGGCACTGAACAACAACAGTGTATACATATATAATAGCATTTTGGCATGCCCAGTGAAGAAGGCTTCCTGCAGAGCATTACATAAGACCATAGGTGGAATCCTGAACCCCATCCAGAATCTTCTGAGGTGGGAAATTCCCACTTGAAAGGACAAGCAGACCAGTCTGGAACGGCTAGAAGAACAAAAGATACTTCTTGAAAGAAAGATCAACAAGAAAAATACAAAACAATAACGGCAGTCTGACAGATTACTACAAGAACAAGCAAGTTGCTCATCCAGGAGACATCAAGGCAAGTGGTTGGGTCCCCTCAGGGCAAACCCCCTGCCAAGACTAAGACTCAGTGGAAGTACACGTACACGAGCAGATATGCACTTGGATTGGTGACTATGTGGGTCACCGATAAGGGGAAGTGAGGGAAAAAAAGCAATAAAGCTGTGAGCTAAGCCCCACAACGTGAACCTGGGTGGAGACCTGGTTGGCCAGCAGTGTGGCAAGACCTGGGGACTCTTGGACCCAGAGTCAGTGACCTAGCCACAGAGGAATGGAGTAGAGAGTGAAGTGTCCAGCTGATAAAAAGAAAGAGCACATGCATAAGAACATCCAAACTTGCAGATAATACCCACTTGACCTGGCTTCAATGACTGGATGAACAGAGCTCAATTAGAAGAAGAAAGAAGAGGAAAAAAGAGAAATATTATACTGATGCAATTTGATGAACTTGACCTACATCTATGGACGCAGTAGCTCAAAAGAGGGAACAAACCTTTACAGCGAGGATCATTCCCACCCCCTCCATACATAGGGTAGACAGGCATAGGCAACTTGGACATTGGCTACCAAAAATGGGGGGCTACAAAAGTAAGAAATGACTGGCTTACAAGCTTTCAAGAGGGAACCTAGATCCAGAGGGCACAGAGGAAGGTAGAATCTCCACTGAGTAGTATCCAATCTGTCTGGGCAGGCTGATGAAAGGAGATGGGGATAGGTCTCTTGTGGTACAATAGTGAATAATTGCTATCAGGACTGATGGTGAGGCTTGGAAATGTAAAGGTAGATGTTGTGTAGCAAAAGGAGGGGAGTGATTGACTTTGCAGTCCAGGAGTGGAAGTTCCTGGGACCATCCAGGGAGAAGAGCAGAGTGCGAGACTCTACCCAGAGAAGCAGTGACTCCGGTGATGATGGCAGAGATGATGATGTGGGTCATCATCGGCTGGGGATTCTAGACCCAGAGAGGGAGAGGGGCTGCGTGCTGACGACTGGGGGGCAGGCTTGAAGGGTATACCCTTTGGTTGGTTGATGATGCATGGAGATGATTGTAAGCATGACAATGAAATCATATACAATAGAATGAATGTAAAGCTAATGTTCTCCCATGTAAACTATCACATAATTCACAATAAAACATTTTTTAAAAATAGCATTTTGGTTTGCTTTTACATAAATGAGGTTTTAACATATATATCATATTGCAGTTTGCTTTCTTCATTTTACTGATGTCTCAGAAATCCTTTCTGTGTACTGTAATCTTAAATAAAAAACAACAACTCAACTGTAAATGAAATGTACAGAAAGAGAATGGAGTTCTGATGCATGCCACACAATGATGAACCTTGAAAACGTCACAAATAAGTTTTCAAATCAGAAAAGTAAGTCAGCAGCAAAAGGACAAATACTGTATGATCTCACTTATATGAAAGATAGGTGGACTAGAGAAACCAAGGACTCCTGGTGTGGTGCTGTAGGATCAGCACTGAACTGTGAACCACGAGGCCGGCAGTTCAAACCCCACCAGCCACTCCTCGGAAACCTTATACAGGGTTTCTATGAGTCGGAACTGACTTGACCGCACGTCACAACAACTAGGGATGAGAGGGAGGAGGAAAAGCGGCATTTTTCTCTTAAAGAGTACTGAGTCTGTGTTAAAGATGATAGAGTGACTTGGGAAAGGATAGAAAGAATGGCTGCATGACTGAAAGAATATAATCAGTGTCACTGAACGGTACGTGCAGAAATTATGGAGATGGCATACGTTTGGTTGGGTATATTTTCACCACTATAATTAAAATTATCTTAAAGTAAAAACAAAACATGCAACTGTAAAAACCAGTTCTCAACAGTGATCTGTGATTATCTTGGGCTGAACACATGAGCCTGCGTTGGAAACTCAAGCAATGAATGTCACATGGGGCCACACTGCCTTCTGCTTACCCAGATCAAAACAAGGTGTGATATTAGTCTGTGTTTTTCACCTTTTTGAAAAACAGGTGTTACTCCAATCTGCTTACTCACTTGGACTGTTACTACAGATCTGTGTTTCAGAAAATGGGGAGCCCCCAAGATGTTGGCATGACTGTCCTTGAGGTGGCTGGGAGAGTATGCATCTGGTTCTTTTAATGTAACCTTGGGCTTAAACATCTAAGGGGGATGAATCTCTATCTGGAATCCCTATGGAAGAAGATTTGGGATGAAGAGAGCAAAACATAGGGCAAGGAACTTTTACTTTGTACTTTACCTTTGACTGAATATTTGAATTGCACATACTGCTTTTATAATTAATAGAAAGTAAGCAATGGGTCAATCTGCCTTTTACAAACCAATCTGTGTGGTCTGGGGGCAATGCTGCATGTTGTTGCAGGCAGAGGGCATTGCTCCTGGCAGTCCCAAACACAAACCAAAAATACATGGTGGGGAGAGAAGGTAGCAGGAGCGTATTTATCTACGAGGGAGACCATCAAAGGTAAACCAACCCTTTATTTTACATAAGGATTCAACTAATGGACCTTTGTCTTATAGCCCTTAGAATGTGTCCGATGACACTAGGTTAGAGGCAGAGGTCACATCTTCTATGCCCTCGTGGAACTTACAGAGAGACAAATAAGGTAATTATAGAAAGAGAGATCATGAGGGGTCAGGTTTAGATTAGGAGTCAGGGAAGGTCTCTTGGAAAAGCAACACCAAGCTGACCCCTGAATGAGGAAGAGTCACCATCAAGAGTGCGGTGGTGAGAAGTCAGGGGTCAATACCAGAGCTGGTAGGTTTAATGATCTGGTGGTGGCAAGGTGAGGCCACTCCCTTCCGGCAGCTTCTGTTTTCTTAATAAATTAGGAAATTAGGTTATTAGCTAAGGCTATGGCTGAGGGCATTGAGGGGGATGTTTGAGGCCTAGCTGTCTCAGAGCTTTAACTGAGCAAACAGAGAAGTATTGCTGGGCTGTGTGGACCACACATTTGAGGTTTGTGGTCATTAACTGTATGGTAGTGGGGTTTTTCTCTTGCTACCTTTTCTTTTTTTTCTTCCATTTATCATCCTAAGGTTTCTTTTCTCTTATGTTGTTAAAAGAACAGCCCTAGAGGTTGCAGAACATTCCATCAAGTGGTTGGACCATAACATAACTGAATTAACCAAACATCTATAATTACTATTAAATGACACCTAACAAAAACAACAAAATTTCCTGTTACTATAAATCACAAAGCAAAGCACTCCCTTATGCATTTAATTTGTTGCCTTATTTTGGATTATGTTATTAGGATAAATCCCAGGTGTGAGATTACTGGGCTACTGTTGTTGTTGTTGTGTGCCTTCGAGTCAGTTCTGACCCATCTTGACCCTGTATACAGTTTCTGAGGAGCAGTGGGTGAGCTTGAACCGCCGACTTTGCAGTTTAAGCCAACTTTACAGTCCAGCACATTAACCCACAGTGCCACACCAGGACGCCTACTGGTGTTGTTTTTCGGTGCTGTTGAGTTGGTGCTGACTCATAGCGACCCTCTGTACAACAGAACGAAACACTGCCTGGTCCTGTGCCATCTTTACAACTGTTATGTTTGAGCCCGTTGTTGCTGCCACTGCGTCAATCCATCTTGTTGGGGGTCTTCCCTTTTTTCACTGACTCTCCACTTTACCAAGCATGATGTCCTTCTTCAGGGACTGATCCCTCCTGACAAAGTATGAGAAATGAAATCTGGTCATCCTGACTTCTAAGGAGCACTCTAGCTGTACTTCTTCCAACACAGATTTGTTTTTTCTCGTGACAGTCCATGATACTTTAAAATATTCTCCTCCAACACAATAACTCAAATGCATCAACTCTTCTACTGTCTTTATTCATTGTCCAACTTTCACACTGAAAATACCAACTTTCACATTGAAAGCACAAGTTAACATCTTTCTGGTATTCTCTGCTTTCAAGCCAAAACCCATCTGAAGTCAGCAATGGCATCCCTTGTTTCACTTCCTCATCAGAATCCGGCTTGAACCACTGGCAGTTCTCTGTCAATGTACTGTTGCAGGGCTATAGGGTAGAAACATTTTTATGGTTCTTAACATAACCAAAGAGAGGTGACCAACAGAATGCAGAAAGCATCAGAAAATATCATTAATATCATGTGGCAGTAAAATTTTGCTAAAAATAATTTTTTAAATGGCTGCAACAGTACACTTACAGGGAATTGCCAGAGGTTCAAGCCGGATTCAGATGAGGTCATGGAACAAGGGATGTCATTGCTGACTTTCAGATGGATCTTGGCTGAAAGTCGAGAGTATCAGAAAGATGTTTTACCTGTGATTTATTGACTACACGACCATGTTTGATTGTGTAGCTCATGACAAGCTATACATAACATTGTGAAGTGTAAGTACTCCGGAACACATTGTGCTCATGAGGAACCTGTACATAGACCAAGAGGCAGTTGTTCAAACAGAACAAGGGAACATGAAATGTTTTAAAAGTAGGAAAGGTGTGCCCTAGGATTGTATTCTTTCACCATACTTACTCAACCTGTATGCTGAGCACATAATCCAAGAAACTGGATTACATGAAGAAAAACATGGCATCAGGATTGGCAGGAGACTCATTAACAACCTGTGATATGCAGATGATACAACCTTGCTTGCTGAAACATCAAAGATCACAGCCTTAAATATGGGTTGCACCTCAATGTAAAGCAAACAAAAATAACAATAAACACCATCAAGAAAAATGGAGAAAAGACTGAAGTTGTTAAAGACTTCATTTTGCTTGGATTCACTATCAACACTCATGGGATTAGCAGTCAAGAAATCATATGATATATTGCACTCGGCAAATCTGCTGCACAAGACCTCTTTAAAGTGTTCAAGAGCAAAGATGTCAGTTTGAAGACTAAGGTGTGTCTGACCCAAGTCGTTGTATTTTACATAGCTTCATATGCATGTGAAAGTTGGACAATGATTATGGAAGTCTATACAAGAATTGATGCATTTGAGTTAGGGTTTTAGAGAAGAATATTAAAATTGCCATGGATTTCCAGAAGAAGAAACAAATCTATGTTGGAAGAAGAATAGCCAGAATGCTCCTTAGATGCCAGGATGGCCATACTTCGTCTCTCATACTTCAGGCAGTTTGTCAGGAGGGACCAGTCCTGGGTAAAGTGGAGGATCATCAAAAAAGAGGAAGACTCCCAACAAGATGGATTGGCACAGTGGCTGCATCAATGGGCTCAAGTTTAACAATGATTCTGAGGATGGCACAGTGTTTCGTTTTGTTGACCATAAAGGTCACTATGAGTCAGAACTGACTCGATGGCACTTAACAAAACAATATATCATGACATATTGCTTTCCCAAGGGTTACCCAGTGTGCACACTGAGGGTGATGCAAAATAAAGCATTCACTTACTCTCTTCACAGCTCCTTCCCCAACGCGTTTCAGTTGTCTCACTTCTGTTCTCAGCTCCTCACAGGACAGCCACGGGGAGCAGTTTTTCATTGGTCCCATCCTGAAGAAACCGAACGGGCAGTGGCTGGGTTCCACCGTGGAATGTCGGGGGGAAATAAAGAATTGATCCAGGCAGAGGTAGAGGAGCGTGTTCATGAGCACCATCGCAAGTAGCAACAACACTGCCAGGGGGACTTCTCTGTGGGGGGGACCCTTTTTACTCTCCAGGGGTTTCTTTTCCATGTTGGTATCTTCTACAATTTCTTAAAATGTGAAAAGGAAACAGGAAACATGAGCTATTAAAAAGCAAACAAACAAAACCATTGTGTTGTTGAATCAATTCCTAATCACGCAACTCCATGTGTGTCAGAGTAGAACTATACTTCATAAGGCTTTCAGTGCCTGGTTTGGGGATGCAGATTGCTATTCTTCTTCATTCACCTTAAGGGGGAAGCTCCACTGAAACCTGTTCAACGTCACAGAAACACAAAAGCCTCTGCTGACAGATGGCTGGTAGCTGCACATGAAGTGCACTGGCTAGGAATAGAACCCACCCACAGCTCCTGAAAGGAAGGGGAGAATTCTACCACTGAACTTAGAAACTACTCAAGGATTTTTACAATCAAAGGATTTGGAGTGGAAGAAGCAGAGGCTAGGAAACTGGCTAAGGGGCCCTGCCAATGTGCCAGGACAAAGGCTGGTGATGAAGTGAGCCCGCATAGCGCTGGTGAGATTGGAGAGAAGATGCTTCGGAAGTGAAGTCTGGCCCATGTAACCACTAAAACCTATACGCAAGCACTACGGCTCTAGGGCTGGAGCTGCTCCTAGAGGCTCTTGCAGAGCCAGGCATTATTGATTTCGTTCTTGGTGGTGGAGGATCAGGGCAGTGGGAGGTCTAGGAGGAGCCTGGACAGCAGGGCACTTGGGAGGAGGCTACTAACAAACCAAAATGGAAATGTGTCAATACTGTGATGACAGATAAGACCACATCAGTGGGATGTGTGGCCTAGTCATGTCTTCTTGCTATTGCTGGGTGCTGCTAAATCAGCTTGCAACTCATAGCCACCCCTTGTGACAGAGTAGAACCCACAGGGTTTTGTAGGTTGTAATCTTTAGGGGAAGGAGTACTGGTAGCATAGTGGATTACATGCTGGGCTGCGAATTACAAGGTTAACAGTTCAAATCCACCAGCCGCTCTGCAGGAGAAAGATGAGGCTTTCTGCTCTCGTAAAGATTTACAGCCTTGGAAACCCTTTACAAGGTCGCTATGAGTCAGAACAAACTCAACGGCACACAGCAGCAGCAGCAGCAGCAATCTATAAGGAAACCAATTGCCAGGGTTTTCTCCTGCCAGGGTGGTTTTGAACCACTCACCTTTTGGTTAGCAACAAATGCTTAACTGTTATGCCACTAGTGCTCCTTAGCAATGGTTAGTAATGACAGAGCAGGCACCGTACTCCTGTGTCAGAGAGACCTGTGACATGACGGGTTGGCTCACCTTCCAGGAGTGTCTCCCTTCTCCCAGCTCAGTGCTCCATCCAGACTAACCGGTCGGTGTTTGAAAGCAATCTGCCACAAAGCACCAAAAAGGTTTTCTTAGACAAAAATGGCAACTATGCAAACAGACAGACCCCCCCAAACCCAAATGGTCCCCTTCCTTGGGACCCTCCTAGTGTTTGGGTGTTCCTTGTGTTCTTGAAGTCTCCGGGACATCCTCATACAGCCTGACCTCTGTTGCTGAACCCTGGCAGCTACTCTGGCCTCAGAGCCCCGCTGCTCAGCAGCCTCTTCTTAGTCCAGGCCTACTTCCTCACCTGGATTACTATATTCTGGCTACTCATTCATTTGGCATGTGGTATGCAGCTACTCTGTGGCCAGCCCTGCACTGGGAATTCACGAGTGGCTAAAACAGATGAGGGGTCTTAGCTTCTGGCTGCTTCATGGGAAATCTAGCAGCAAGGACAAAATAGACAGGTAATCAAAAAACTTATATTACTGTGATGAGAGTTCAAGAATTGGGAATAAGAAGATAGCGAACTCATTGGATGAAGTGCCCACAGCAGACCTCTCTGAAAACGTGACACTTACACTGAGACCGGAACATGAGAAAACCCAAGAAAAAACAACTATTCCCAGCATTCTCCCAGTTGCTCATCAAGCTGGGACTACAAACTGTGATAAAGCCAGCTGCAAGATTAGCAGGAGACAATATTGACAAATCCAGTTACAAGGTTGTTGTTGTTAAGTGCCATCAAGTTGATTCTGCCAACCTTGCAGTTCAAACCAACTTGCGGTCCAGCGCATTAACCCACTTAACAGGAGGCAATATTCCACCTTACGGCATGCAGTCTCGCCCTGTGGAGGACTCCTACCCTGTCACACGCGCTCTCACCCTATGGAGGACTCCTACCCTGTCACACGCGGTCTCACCCTATGGAGGACTCCTACCCTGTCACACATGGTCTCACCCTATGGAGGACTCCTACCTGTCACACGTGGTCTCACCCTATGGAGGACTCCTACCCTGTTACACGTGGTCTCACCCTATAGAGGGCTCCTACCCTGTCACATACACGTTCTCACCCTATGGAGGACTCCTACCCTGTCACATATGGTCTCATCCTATGGAGGACTCCTACCCTGTCACACGTGGTCTCACCATATGGAGGACTCCTACCCTGTCACATATGGTCTCATCCTATGGAGGACTTCTACCCTGTCACACGTGGTCTCACCCTATGGAGGACTCCTACCCTGTCACATATGGTCTCATCCTATGGAGGACTCCTACCCTGTCACA